AAAAGAAAATCAAAAGGATGTAAATCTCATGCTTCTGACTAATGCCCTATAAGTGAACATGTACAATTACTAATAAAAATGTTTTAGGGCTGGAGAGATGACTCAGCGATTAAGAGCACTGGCTACTCTTCCAGAGATCCCAAGTTCTATTCCCAGCAATCACATGGTGGCTCACAACCATCTATAATGAGATCTGGTGCCCTCTTCTGGCCTGCAGGCATGCATGAAAAGAGAACACTGTATATGTAATGAATAAATAAATAAATCTTTTTAAAAAATTGTTTTCATTAACTCTTATTTATGTGAATGTGCCCATTGGAGTTTATGCCATTTGTGTGCTGATAACCTCTAGAAGAGGGCGGCAGATCCTCTGGAACTGGAGTTACAGGGGCTTGTGAGAAACCCAGTATGGATGCTGGTAACAGAACAGCCCTTAAAAACATTTGAAAGGGACAAGAGATCATCTGACATGCTGGCTAACAATTGCTTGTTGGGTTAGACCTCCTCCTTTTAGTGAGAAGTCTTCACCCAGGCAATAATTCGAGTCTCAGGGGCTGGAGAGATGACTCAGTGGTTAAGAACATGTACACTCTTCCAGAGGACCCAAGATCAGTTCCCAGTGTCCACATTAGGCAGCTTGAAACCTGTAATTCTAGATTCAGGGAGATCTGGTGCTTCTGGCCTCTTTGGGCACCTATATTCACAAACACATATTCCTCCCACCCACACACATACATATAGGTAAAGATAATAATTAATCTTTTAAAAACTTTGGAGTCTCACACCTTTATGTCCAGGCACAGAATAAACACATCAGAAGGATCTGCTGAAAGTACCGTTTACCAAGAACCTTAACTTCCAGAAAATAAAGCAGAAAATACTTAAAGCCACTAATTTGGGTTTTATTTGTTTGGTTAGTTTTTCGAGACAGGGTTTCTCTGTGGCTTTGGAGACTGTCCTGGAACTAGCTCTTGTAGACCAGGCTGGTCTCGAACTCACAGAGATCCACCTGCCTCTGCCTCCCGAGTGCTGGGATTAAAGGCGTGGGCCACCAACGCCAGGCTAAAGCCACTAATTTGTTACTAAACACCTGGAGAGTCTGTGTGAAGTGAATGAACCACATCATGATGTCACTGTGCACAGTCTAAAATGGAATGCTTTATCTTCCTGTAAAAAAAAAAGCACAGCGATCTTCTAAAAACTAGTCTCTTCTTGCATAAACTATCTTAGAGACAAAGGTAAGCATTTGCTATCTGTTACAATGAGCAAATTTCATTTAAATGGATGTCGTCTCCCCTGGAAACTGGGGCCCAGGAAACTGGCTCAGCAGGGAAAGGCACCTGCCATAAGAAGGCCTGACAACCTGAGTTCAATCCTCAGGACCTACACTGTGGACAAAGTTGTCCTTTGATATCCACAGGCATGCCATGGCATAAAGGTGCCCCCTCCCCCAAACACACATGCACACACTAACATAAATAAATGTAACTTAAAATTAAAACAAGAGGGAAATCTTGGAAAGTAGTTTCACTTTCAACCTAAATAATGACATTTTTTTCCCTCCAATTTGTGGTAAAGTAGTCATTTCCAGTGAAGATGCCTAGTGATCTCCCAAACTCAACATTTGTCTCTGGCATAGAATTTTAAAGTGAACTACACCTGATTACAGTTGAGGGCTGAAACCCTCAGAAAAATTAAGATTATATTTGAAAACACTCTAACAAATACTTGTAAATATTCAAAATGCATAATACATTTGAATAAACGGGATGCTTTTTTATAAAGCTTTCTTTCAGAAAACATTTTTTCAGGGAGCAAAGGAGTTGAGACAAGCAAGGTCAAAGAAATATGCCCACGGCTCAATCTCCAAATGAAACAACTAGCACACACAGTTAACTCAAGCCTTTGTTTTAAAAAGGAAAACAGGTCCTATAGGAAGAGACCACATTGTGGCCATCCTTTGTATGTTAGGGTACTGTTAGATGGTTGGGAAATTATTAAAAGCCTGCAGTCAGTCATATCTGAGAATGGTGATACACACCTATAATGCCAGCACGTGGAGGACGGAGGCAAGAGACTCAGGAGTTCAAGTCCAGCCTCTGCTACACAGCAGTCTGAAGCTACCCTGAATTCCATGAGATGTAGTCTTCAAAAACTGCAAAACACCAAAAAGGCTGCAGTCAAATGAAGCATTTTTGGTTTTTCGAGACAGGGTTTCTCTGTGTAGCTTTGAAGCCTGTGGTAGAACTCACTCTGTAGACCAGGCTGGCCTCAAACTCACAGAGATCCACCTGCCTCTGCCTCCCGAGTGCTGGGATTGAAGGCATGCACCACCAATGCCTGGCAACATTTTCTTCTTATTATTATTTTTTTAATATTCTATTTATTTTTATGCGCATTGTTATTTTGCCTTCAATCACGTCAGTGCACCAGATTCCCTGGAACTGGAGTTACAGACAGTTGTGACTGTCATGTGGGTTCTGATAATTGAACCTGGGTCCTCTAGAAGAGCAGCCTATGCTCTTAACCACTGAGCCATCTCTCTAGCTCCAAATGAAGAGTCTTCAAAGGCTACCATAAAGTTCAGATATCAGATCATCAAAATTCTCCACAGAACCCTCATAGGCTCCAACCTCTTCCTCTAACAGACCTAAGACAAAATCTATTTCATAATCTGTGTGTGCATGTTCTGGGGATGGGACACAGGCTCTCACATGCTAAACCCACTCTACCACAGAGCTACACCCAGAGTCAAAACAAGACATTTAAAGAGTATCTAAGCAGTGAGAAGTGTCTCTGCTGTTAATAGAATTGTTTTCATTTCTGAAGCTTTCTCTTCCTAGAATTATTAGGTTGAAACTTGGCTCCACCTTTAACTAGAGTCGGGAACAAAGCCTGAATGTACCAAGTCAAACAAAGTCACACAATGAGGTAATTTTTACAAAACGGCACTGCTTTGCTAACCATGCCACACACTGTCTCAGCCCACATACTCCATGGTTCAGGGACCACCTGATAACACTATTTCTGCATCTAACACATTAACAATAAATAGCTACCTATCTACTTAATTGCTGGAGAATTAAACATGTTCCAACCCCATTTTCAAAGGGCCATAGAGCTACTGACCAACGACAAGGCAAGAAATATGAGTGGTAAAACACACAGCAGTTGGGAGTGCTTTTCTAGCATGTGCACGCCCCAGGGTTTGATACCCAACACACTTGTGGGTTTTCCGAGGGTAATAATGGCAAATGATTTCACCAATACTGTAAGTTGTATCTGTGGTGTTGCCTAACCCACTTAATTGTAGGCTCTTTTAGGGTAGGGACTTTGGAACTTTGAATCTACAAAAGAACTGACATAAAATTCACTGAGAAAAAAAGTGTTTTGTCCCCCCTCATTCCTAACATAATTTAGTACCATGTTATATTATTCTGTCAATGCAAATATATGTGTGTGTGTGTGTGCAGACCTTTAAAAACAGGTAACCTTTTCTAGGCTGGCAAGATGGCTCATCAGGTAAAAGGTGCTTGCCACGAAGCCTGACACCTTGAATTTAATCCCTGGAACTCACATGGTGGAAGAAAAGAACAGACTCCCACAGTTGTTCTCTGACCTACACACAACACACATGCCATGGCACATACACATACACACCCAATAAATGTAAAACAGTAACTGAAAAAAAAAAAGAAAAAAAAAAAAAAAAAACCTTTCCAGGCTGGCAAGATGGCTCAGCATGTGAAAACATTTACTACAAAAGACTGATGACCTGAGTTTGATCCTCAAATCCCAAGGTGGAGAGAACCAACTGTCCTCTGACCTACAGAAACCTGCCATGGCACACTGTGCTGGTATTCACACACACACACACACACACACACACACACACACACACACACACGGATATGTATGTATGTATGTATGTATGTATGTATGTATGTATGTTTGTATGTATATCCAGGGATGGTGAAGCACCTTTAAACCTAGCTTTTGAGAGGCAGAAGCAGCCACATCTCTGTCAGCCTGATCCATATAGCCAGCTCAAGGCCAGCCAGGAACTTTTTAAAGAAGTAGAAGGGCGAGGAGGGAAGGCGAATTAGTTGTTTCTTGAAAACAGAAAACTTTTCTACCAACTTTATAGCTTTTTGAAGGTTGTCTAAACAAGAGCACACTTTATCCATAGAATTCGGAAAGGCCTTCTGTAGACGCTAGCTAGAATGTATATTGCACCAGTAACTATGTAGATAAAAAGTATTCCACTTACCCACTTAGGTGCAAAAGATGATCTCTCTTCCAAGGGGCACTGTCTTAAAAAGTGATAACCCCAGAGCCTTTGGCTAACTTGTAAAGTCAACGGAACCATTTGGATTAGGCAGATTTTTGAAAGCTGGAATTAGTTGCAAGACAATAGAAGGTCGGTATCTCTCACCAGGATCAGCTAAACTCATTGTTCTGAGCACCAATAAGGAGGCTAGGACGGGCGCCAAATGGTTCACTCCTAGCACCCACAAATTCAAGCGTTAGTGTGTGTGGCATGGGGTGTACAGTTACCTAATATTAACACCTACGGATGTGAGTGACCAGCGGGTCCCAGCTCAAGTACATGAGAGGGATTTGAGTAGGACAGCAAGTAGAATCTGCTATGTTAAGTCTTTATCAGAGTTCATCTGGAGGAATGGAAGGGAGAAAAACGAGAGGGAACGGCCGCATGGAAGAAGGAAAGAGTTGCTGAATTATCTCCCTGAGAGGGAGTTTTGACTTTTGCTGAACTGCCACTTTCCCTCCATCCCGTGGGAGACCAAGGGCCGGGGCAGCAAAGACTCATCCCGGCGCACTTCCCAGAAGGGCGAGTGCAGGGTGGGAGGTTCCTCCATTGGCGACCCCCAGGGGAGAAGTTCCCGCTCCTGTTGCACCCCGTCTCAAAAGGCGCGGAGTGTAGCCGGGACCTCCGAGTACACACAGGCTCCGTGGATGAGGGGAGAGGAGGGTCTTACCAGACTAGAAAGTCGTCGGTGCTCGGCGTTGCACGGCCACAGTCCCTACGCTCTGCCTAGCGCACCTGTCGCGACTGGGCAGCAGCACCTACAGCTCGGCGGCCCCGCCCCGTTCCGGCTCAGGGCCACGCCCCGTCCACACCCCCAGTGCGGAGGCGCGCACGCCTCCCGCCTCTCGAGGGGCCTGGGGCGAGCGTGCTCGCTCCCGGTGGCGTATTCGACTCGTGATCGCTAACGTCGCGGTAGCCCTGTGGCGTTGCGGGAGGCGTGGCTCCCGTGACTGCCTCCAACCCTGTTGTTTCCTCTCTGGCTCACCCTTAGCTGTCTCTGATTAGGGATTGCCGCAATTTGATTTGAGATTCACTCAGAAGTCTGGTCTAAGTTCAGCGGCAGGGAAGTTCCTGGTGCTGTCAGGGTAAGTTCTGTGCAGAGGTATTTTACAAGAGGCCATGACCTGTGCTGCAAAGAGCTGTGAATGAGGCCTGGCTCAGACTAGCATTAAGTCACTTCACCTTAGTAGACCTGAGTTTCCTCATGGAAAGAAAGAGCTGGAAGAGAGTAGGTGGTGTCCAAAATCCTCAAGAGCTTTGATTTTTTTTTTCTTTTCTTTTCCTTTTTTTTTTTTTTTTTTTGAGACTGGAGGTGGGAGTCATCTGATGTAGTTGAAGTTGGCATGGAACTCACTGTGTAGCTTGAAGATCATCACTTGGAGCTGTTGACTCACAACTGCCCGTTACCTTCTGATCCTGGGGGATCTGACACCATCTTCTGGCCTACATGAGCACCTGCGTGCGTGTGCGCTCTCTCTCTCTCTCTCTCTCTCTCTCTCTCTCTCTCTCTCTCTCTCTTTCTCTCTCTCTCTCTCTCTCACACACACACACACACACACACACACACACACACACACAAATAAAGAGAAATGCAAATCTTTTTTAAAAGAGGCTTGTAAGAGAAGGGCAGTCGCTCATGCCCTAGAGTGGACTCGAGCTTCTCAAAAGTGTCTACACGAGCTATTTCTGTTGCTGCACTTAGGATATTAGGAGCTGTAAAGACCATGAGGAGGCAAAGCATTTGGCCATCTAGCTCTCAGATACTTTCTCCCGCCTCATTCCTCTGTGTGATGAACCCTTTGATAGTACCCTTTCCCAAAGTAAAGTGTCAAATGAAAGGAAGGAATTCTGAAGCTTTTCATGTAAGCATTGATAAGTGTTATAAGGGCTAATGGTATGATAGTCCTCAAGACAGGACACGATGATGTATGACCTTCATCCTAGCAGCCGTAAGTCTGAGGTGGAATGGTTGCCTGGACAGCCTGTTTTGCAGAGTGACAATGACTAACAACAATAGAACTACAAAAAGCAGTTGGTATGTTGTAAGGAGATGAACAATTTCCAATGACAGAACAGCCTCTTCATTCAATTATCTAACCTAGACCAACTTCTGGATAAATGTACTTAAGAAAAACTCTAGGAAAAACTCAACACTTTATTCAGGCATTAAAAGCTTTTTAGCTGGATCAGTATTGGTAGAGCACGCCTTTAATCCCAACACTCAGGTAGCAGAGGCAGGCAGAACTCTGAGAGTTCGAGACCAGCCTGACCTACAAGAGCTAGTTCCAGGACAGCCTCCAAAAGACACAGAGAAACCCTGTCTCGAAAAACCAAAAAAAAAAAAAAAAAAAAAAAAAAAAAGTTTTTTAGCTGGGCGTTGGGGTTGCATGCCTTTAATCCCAGCACTCAGGAGGCAGAGGCAGTCGGATCTCTGTGAGTTTGAGGCCAGCCTGGTCTACAGAGCCAGTTCCGGGACAGGCTCCAAAGTGATACAGAGAAACCTTGTCTCAAAAAACAAAAAACAAAAAGTTTTTTAAAGAGATGAATTAGTGGTTAAGAGCACTGGCTGTTCAATTCCCAGCACCCACATGGTGGCTCACAATTGTCTGTGATTCCAGTTCCAGGGACTCCAACACGCTCACACAGACAGACACATATGCAGGCAAAACACCAATGCACATAAAAATAAGTCATTAAAAAAGTTATATGAAGGTTTTTTGAATAGGAAAGCAGCAAACTGCTCTAACAGCCTGTTCAGCTTTATAAGCTTAACAAGGAAGTAATGATACTGGCTACAGCTAGGCTTTGCCTTATTTGATATGGTCACATGGCAGCTCCCTAGTTATATAACCAATTGACTGGTTGGCTATCTGTGAATGGCTATCTCAATTCAGAATTAATCAGTTAGAAGGGCTTTCTGGTACAAAAATAACCTTAGGCTATTGGCCTGCTTATTTTGCTTTAATGCCATCAAGCATGAATAAGATCTGAGAATATAGCTCAGCAATAGACTAGCATACACAAGGTCACAGGCTTAATCCCTAACCTGTAAGCACCAGCACTTGGGAGGCTAAGACCCTGTCAAAAACCAAAACAGAAAAAGAAAGATTAGCAAAACTGAGTGGACCCAACATGAAGGAGAATGTTAAAGAGTATGTAATAGCAGAGACTGGAGAGATGACTCAGCAGTTAAGAGCACTGGCTGCTCTTCCAGAGGACTTGGGTTCAATTCCCAGCACCTACATGATGGTCATGGCTACCTGTAACTACAGTTCCATGAGATCTGACACTGTCAACAGAGACACTCATGCAGCCAAAACACCAATGCACATAAAATAAAAATAAGTAAATTATTTAAAAGACTATGGGGTTGTACTTCAGTAAATGAATTCTGTTGCATATGGAATGCCCTCAATAAAAACATAAGATCAGGTGGCAGGTCTTGGTGAGCTACTTAATAATTCTGCAAAGAAGTGCTTGTGTGATTGACAAATGAATGAGTTCTAACATACTTTCTCATTGTTCACTCTTGTCTTACTGATTAAACTTAAATGAAAATGCCAGCCACCACCCACATCTGAACTGTATTCTCTTGATAGTAAAGCACAGATCTTCTCAGCCAAGTCAAATAGTAATCAAACATTTATTCACACCTTGATCTGAAGAAACATCATTGGAAAAAGTATTATCAAACATTTTGTTGTGGTTGTTTTGGTTTGGTTTTTTTTGAGACAGGGTTTCTCTGTGCAGCCTTGGCTGTCCTGGACTTACTCTGACTTAGGCTGACCTTCTCCAAGTCAGAGATCCTTCTGCCTCTATGTCTCAACTGCTGGGATTAAAGCATGTGCCCACGCCTAGCATCAAAACTGTTTTTGGGTTTTTTGTTTTTGGTTTTGGTTTTGGTTTTGGTTTTGGTTTTTCAAGACAGGATTTCTCTGTATTGCTTTGGAGGTTGTCCTGGAACTCTCCCTGTAGACCAGGCTGGTCTCGAACTCACAAAGATCCGCTTGCCTCTGCCTCCTTTATTTTTGTTTTTGACAAGTGTGGTGGCCTATGCCTTCTGTCCCTGCATTCTGGAGACAGATACAGGTGGATCTCTATGAATTTGAGGCCAGGCTGGCCTACATAGTGAGCTCTAAGCCAACTGAGGCTGCACAGTGAGGCTGTGTTTAAAAAAAAAAAATCTTAGTTTTTAGCTGGCAAGATATAACTCAGTGGACAGGTGCTTGCTACCAAACCTGATGCCTTGGGTTCTTTTCATGGAACCACATGGTGGAAGGAAAAGCTCAATTCCTGAAACTTGTCCTTTGATTTTTTATCCAATCGCTGTGGCATAGATACTCATGCACAGATGAGTATGTCTGTGTCAAGTAGAAAGAGCATCAGTGAACATGAATGCATTTTTTTGTTGTTGATTTTATGGTACTCAAGAGTTCAGGATCTCCTGAATGCTAGTCAAGCACTCTACCACTGAACTACAGCCCTGGAATATGATGTTTGGAAAGATTATTAGGATTCAATAGTTACTACTAAAAGCCAACTCACAACTTTCAGTTAACATGCATAAGCTAAAGAAAAATACTGATATTACCATAGGCCGTTATCTGCTAGCAAAGGGAAGAACAGAATTAAAAGAAAGGGTACATCACAAGTGCCACAAGGACAGAAGAACACACCATCTGCTTTTACAGTGTGGTTTTAGCTCTTTCTGGCTGCCCAGCGAGGTGACACAGAGTCATTCTTGAGTCCCATCCTAATTCAAGGGAAACTTTCACTCAGTGCCTGGAGCCCTGATGTTCTGCAGATGAAGGAGGCCACCTGAATCCCTCGTAGCATGAGCCCACTTAGGTGGCACCAACCATGACTTTGAGGCAGAATGATACAGATACAAAAGCAAAAGGGTTAGTGTCTACATCATAAACCTGAAGAGAACCTGAGAGAAGCTGTCACTGGCTGCTAGTGCCATTGTTTCCACTGAAGCCACTGAAAACCCAGTTAATGCCAGTACCATCTCCTACAGGAACACCAGCTGCCACGGGATCCACTCCAATGGCGGCTGACTCCTGGGACTTTTTCTAACCTAATCCAAACAGCCTTCCTGGATCTACAACTTCTGGTGGTAACTGATTCCAGGGCTGACCACTAGCTCCTCACAGAAGTGTTAACCTGCCTAGCATCTCTCTGTGTAACAGATTCTCCTCCAGACTATGTAGACATTGCCATCCCATGCAACAACAGCAGCTCCGTGGGTCTGGTGTGGTAGATGCTAGCCCTGGAAGTCCTGCACATGTCAGATACATGTCACCATCTCCTGTGTGCACCCATGGGAAGTTATGCCCAATCTCTTCAGAGATCCTGAAGTGCCTGAGAAGGAAAAACAATCCACTACAGAAAAGGCTGTGGACAAGGAGGAATTTCAGGGCAAATAGACCATCCTAGCTCCTGAGTTTGCTGCTGCTCAACTAGAGGTGGCAGACTAGTCTGAAGGAATGTAGGTGACCTCTGTGCTCGTCTCCAAGTTCCTGAGTGAAGACTGGAGAGCCTGGCCAGCCACCAAGGACTGGTCTGCAGCTCCCATGCTGGGTTGGAATACTGTGGTCATAAACTGTTCTGCAGACATTTAAGCAAAATGGAAAGAAGGAGGATGGAAAATAATCTGTGAAAGTTGGAAAGAAAATTTGGCTTTAATGATAAATTTTTGAGCCAGGCATGGTGGCACAAGCCAGTAATCCCAACACTCAGGAGACAGAGGTGGGGGGATCATAGGCTGTTTTGGCTACCTGATGAGTTTAAGGCATGCCTTGGCTA